TGTAAAATTTAATTTTTTGACTCGTCTCTCACGTCGTTAATATTTACATTAGCGGCAATTTCTTTACATTAATGTATTTATGAGTACGTGTACTTTAAATATTGTGTGATATTGTGTTCCCAAAACAACAGTTTTGCGTGAAAATTAGCTTAAAATTCCGCATTGTCAGAAACGCTGAAACATCATTTTCTCTAAAACGGCTGCAATTTTTTTATTCCAAATTTTCCAACAGATTGTGCTAATTGCACTATTTAAGATGACATAGATTTAATTTTGTTGATTCATTTATTTTTTTTCAAATTAATTAAACAAATTTTTTTTTAAATCTTTCACATCTTTATTTTGCACATTTCTAGCAATTCGTAAACACTATTGCATTTGTGAAAGAAAGTGCTTGAAATGTCATCATACGAAGTTTTTCCAAAACTCAATAGTTTTCGGTGAAAGGTTATATTTTTCGAATGTAAAGTAGGGCTTAAACGCCTTTTTTAGCAGCTAATAAATTTCCAATGAAAATTGTCATTTGGGAAGATGCTTTTTATATTTTTAATACTTTTAAAGTAACAATTCTACCATAAGGAAGCCGTAAAATTAAGAAAAAATGTACTTTGGGCGGGAATAGCTGGCAAGAGTATGTGGCAAGTCCGTACAGCTAGCCGAGACCAATGGAAATAGAAAACTAATACGGGAAAGGTTGTGCAATTCTGTAGTACCACAAGTTTTATATCAAATATAATTGCATCAAGCATTACACAATGTAAATGTATGCAATAAGGACACTTAGAGCCAAAGAATATACGTTGTTAGGACGACCTATAAACAAGTTATTAGATTCCATGCTTGATGACATAGCATTATTAATTTGCGGAAGGAATGGGAACACGGCCCCGAGGACATTGCATACAGAAGATGTGAAGGGGGCAGTGGATGCAACGTGGGATTCAGGGGGGGGGGGCAAGAGGGGCAACTTCCCCTCCCAATGTTGGGTCAATTAAAAAAAAATAACATTTCATTTTGCGGATCTTCAAATTGATATTATAATATCAATTTGGGTGATAATCGGTTGAACAGTTTATGTGCTGGCGTTGTGCACAGACGGACGGACAGACAGGCAGACGTTTTGTCGTCAATCGATTTTTCGGTATGAAGGATGCACAAAACATGGATTCTAACTACAGCACGTTTTGAACGAATTCTTTTCTATACTTAGAAATTTGATTTATCCACTTTTTCCTCACCCAGCAACTTTTGTCCTGCAGGATTTAACCCTAGATTCTAAAGGCGACCTGTACCAAGCGTTATTACAAAGCGTAGTAACGGACTACTTCGGGTAAAAATCAGGAAAAACTCATTTTTACAATGAAACACTAAATTTAAAGGATTGAACATGTGTGATATGGAGTTACAAAATACATTTAAAGGTTTTATAGATAATAACTTCACTCTCACAGCACACACTTGCTTGGTGCTGTCCACACATGGCTTTTGAAAAGTGTCCGCAGTAGTACCTCTTCATGCGAACCTTTCTTATGATAGCCGTCGTCCCATTATGATTGCTAAATGATTGCACTAGTTGCGTCGTCTGACTGTCAACGCCTTTGTAATTCAGGATTAAAATGATAATTTTTTTACTACAGCTCAGCGATCGAAAATATCTGGAAAATTTTACGTTTTGTGTTTTAAGAAGAGCTTTTGAGATGTTTTTCAAGCCCGTTCCAGGGCTCTAAGACAAGAAAAAATATATTTTTTCAAAAAGTAAACTTCGCGTTTAAATTTGGCGCTGAGAAAATATCAACAAAAAAAATTCTGATAGTATATATTATTTTGTGATTTTTCATATTTTTTCAATCAAAGAAAATATTGTTTAGTTCGAGAAAATATTAAAATTAAAAAATACGTTTCTGGCTTTAGAGGGGTGTGGGCGGTGGGACGGCGGCTAAGAAATCTTTCAAAATTATTATGTTTATGTTAGAATTATAATGTAACTACTCGTGTGCCTTTTGTTTTAGGGCAACTTTTAAGCATCTTATTCAGGGAACCCTTTGCCCCCCCCCCATTAAACTCTGTGTGGAAGCCGTGATTTTGTGAAAATGTCGAAATAATCACTCTCTTGATAGTCGGCGAAGATAACGGATGTAGCAAGCAAAACGGCACGAGTACTCTTTCAGTTGAGATTGGGGAAATAGTTCGATTATAGGGAAGCGGGTTCACATATAACAAATTTTGACATGTTAAATATTGCATGAATTGAGAAGTTAAAGACATTATTTTAATTTGGATCGTAATTTGCAATTTAAATTAAAATAGACTTCGTGTTCCAAGGGAATTTGTATTAGGATAGATCCGTAGACGGGGAGGTTTTTGAGCGAGTTGGGCTGAAGATAGACAGTCGCGTGTATGTGTTCATCCGAAGAGCAGACAGGGTAGTCGTTCTCACCAAATAATTTAATTGCAATTATTTATTTTTAAGAAATTACAAAAACAGTTTACAATACTCCAGATACCTTTACAAACATATCTTGACGTTAGACAAGATTACGAAAAGAGGGTATCATCGAGGACATCCTACTGGACGGTATCAAGCCAAAAGATGCGGAAGTCATCTGAGAAATAATCATCGCCCGCGAAGATCACAGAAACTCGATAAACTTTAATTGGAACCGTACGGAACTATAATTATTGTACATAGGAGAATTAGATCACATCATTGATGAGCAGAATATAAACTGTAACAGTATCAAAATAAATGTTAAATTCTTATTATTGAAAAAGAAAAGTCTGATAATTTGTAGTTAGTTGCCATCAAATTAATAATCGATTTCAATCAACTGAATTTCAAGCAATTGCAATTCTGCACTTAATTACACGTCCACATACGACAGGTGAAATGGTAAGAGTTTGAATGTGGAGATACATGATAAAAAAAAAAAGTAGGATCATGATTACAATGATTTAATACCGAGAAAATTTACGAGCATCGGAGGGCAAAATACAATATAAAACTTATAGCATTGATGAAATAATATCGGTCGGGCAACAAAATTAAGTAAATAAATGGAAGTAAAAAGATATTTCATAAATAGCTTGTTCAAGTCGGGCAACAAAGATAATTAAGTATTAAATAGAAGTTTCACAATACGAATAACACAGATAAATGAAATAACATTTAATAATAATAATAAAAATTAACATGAATACATTTACACTTCACCGAATAGATCCTGTAGTAGGTCACCAGTTTTTTAGACAACTGCTTCACTTCTTGTTGATACTTATTACCACCGCAAATAAACACCACGAAGGTGTAACCAGGGCCCACCACCCCGATACGACCACAGGAAACTACCATTATAATTTTGAATAGTTATTAATATACCAATACAAACTAAATTATCTATATGAGGCTCATAGGATGCTTGAGGTACTCACTGACAGTCAGGTTTCACCGACGTTATTTATACATAAAAACATGTCATACAGTATTTATCCAATGTTGAACAGAATTTACCCTTTTCAAATTCCACAGAATGAATTAAAAATTAACTCACACCGCATATGTATCCTTAAACGGTCTAAAAAACCACACTCGTGCAAATTCATAGTTTACCAGCAGATCGCTTTGCCATTCGTTAATGGCGGCGACGCCCTCTTCAATTTTCAATTAATATACTCTCTGAGAGTGAACAGTGGCGCTCATGACACCATTTTCTAGCGTCTCTTAAGATACTATATCTTGGGCCGCGTAACTAAACAGCTGCCGCGGGCAGAGGGTAAGGCTGGGTAAGGATATACTCCTGAATTACATGCTTCACTTTTTCGCGAACTGTTAACTTTAGCCATTCTTATGAAAAATCACCCTATACCATGGAAGGTCCATGCTTAACACGAACATGGCCATCAATAACTATGGTTGAAAAATCCTTTCACATCATGTACAGGATGATCGAATGAATTCGAATCAGTTCGAATTGGCCCAGCGCTGGTCTGGCAACATAACCAATTACATTTGTTATGTATTCGCCGTGGCAGAGCGTGCACTTGACATATTGACCAGGAAACAAACAGGCTTTTACCACACTAACAATTACACTATGTTTAATTGTGAACTTCTCGTGTTTGTGCCAGAAAGTATTATCCGAATTATGCAGCAATACGTAAGGATAAAATAGGAGCTGTGAAACCATTCTTCGTGATTTCATATTGCCCTTCTGCTTGGAAGTTATGGGGCTATTAATTTGGCATGTATAAAAGTCAGAGGGCTAATAAAAGTATCATGAAGGAGTAAGGAGCTTACTATAGCTTTATATTTCTTTTCATAGGAACAATAATTTATTTACGCATTTATTTATTTATGATACATGTGTTTACAAATACAAAATTGCTACTTTTTTCAGGAAAAAATATTACAGGATTAATTTTAATACAATCTCCATCAGATATAAAAACATGATGGTATTTCTTTTAACGATGGAAGGTACTGTCAATTTACAACTTAAGTGCAAAGAATGTTGGCATATTTGAAGCAATTGAACAATTCTGCTGAAGGTATATTTTTGAATTGAAAATGGTACCAACTATTTAGGAATTATTGCTTATTATAAAATGTACGAATTAATAATTCAGATGTTGTTCCCATTTTCTTTTTCAGCCTATATTCAGCTTGGTTGGATATGACTTCAGAAGTTGCTTTCCTGCAGGAAATAAATACCTAGTGGTAAAACAGAAATACCATTTGAATTTCCTTCTTACTCACGTGCAACAAAATTCTTACGAAACATATCATGGAGTGTTCGTACATTCAGTATCTGTTACGATGCGAATGAAGAGAATTTTTTAGCAAAAGATCTTTTAAAAGTGGCCTGAGTTTATGTGGAGTATAAGGTAGTATTTGGGATATGACGACTGAATACCTAATGAGAGGATTGTTTTATTTGTGATTGTAAGTTATATTTATAAGTAATATAGTGGCATCATGTATTAGATTTGTATTCTTTCTTTTCATGACTACCACACAGCCCCATCTGCGTTCTGAGGAAAGCAACTCACGATCCTGTGTAAATTCTCTATTACACCAGGAATCTTTGCAGAATGTCAAGGAAAGAGTCGATACCCAGTGTTTCAGTAACAGTGGTCATTTTGATTCAACAGTTTGTTGTATAACTAAACCATTTAACTGGAGAGGTATGATTTTTTTTAGAATTATAATTAGAAAATTGTGGGTTTAATCCAGTTATATTACAAGAATAATTTGTAAGCACATCTTATTTTAATAACAATACAATGATTGCATGGTAAAATTCAACTAATTTCTAAACAAATTTAGTTTAGTTGTTGAAAGCTGTGATAGTTCCTATTAAATCTGGAGAATTTACAATTAGTACGTGTTGAGAATTGTGGCTGTGCCTGGAAGGTATGCGATAAAGATGGTAATAATACTGAGTTTTTTTGTATTATAGTGTTTATTTTTGTTAGATATTCATTAATTATTCTCTCTTTTGTTGTTAGGCTACGGAAATACAGAATATTCAAATAGTGAAGGTAATGTACCCTGTGGAATTGCTAATTTACCAATATACATGGTATTTCCTCGTTTATTTACATGCCCTACTCTCTCAACAAGTAATTCAATATGTTTGGTTAGTTTTCAAGTGTACATAATACTTTGTACACATGCAAGTAACTTTGAAATATTTCCATAGGTATTATATTCCTTTAACAATGGAATCAAAAGATTTAAAACAAAATAGTTTTGGCCTTCTTGAGATTCTTTTATCAATCTGAATCGTTTTTTGAATTTTCTCCATAAGGGCAGAATTTTTTTGTTGATCTTTCCATAATTGTCTTTTCGCAGTTTCATGACATTGTCTTTCCTTATTACAGAATTTGAAAGTTACATTGTTTATAATATTTCAAGATGATCATTTGATAACTGAGAATTTTCGAATAGTCCTGTCTCGATATTAAATGTTTTGGACTAGCCCTGAAGGAAATGCGATTGTTTGTATCATAAACTGGATATTGCACTATGTTGCAATTCATATAGACAAATGCAAAGGTGCTCTTCAAATTTATGCCAAAATGGTGTATTATTTGCTTTTCTTTATTGCATTCTATTATTGTGAAAATGTTAATCCATATTTCAACATTTGTTGGTGGATAAATTAACTTTCCATTGCATGTTCAAATTAAGAAATTGGAATTAAAAAAGAATATTGTGTATTTTGTTGACTATCCACTGTGCTTTGTGCGTTGTCTCAGAGCCAAGGTATACTTTTTCTTGATATCTCTGCAAAATGGTGTAAAAACTATCAAACCATTAACTTCACAACAGAACCTACTGTGGGGAAAAATATTTTGTAAAAGCCGACATAGCATTCTCAGCTAATATTGTCCTCTATCATTTATTTAAAGCAATTGAAACTCATCCTATTTCTGATTTTGAAACCTTGCTATTTGTAAATATATGAGAAAAGAGACTTTAAGTGCAAATTTATTGAATCTCGAAAATAAGTCCCAAAATTGAAGCATGTGACTCTTTAAAAATTGATTGATGATTTTAAATTAAAATTAAATATTACTATGATTAAAATTAAAGAAGAAAAAATATGGGAGGCTGGTTGTTTTTCTAGGAAACAAATCTCTGCTGATGTGATTTAATGCCTTAAATACAGGTTGATCAATATATATGTTAGAACAATACAGACTTAAAATTTCCTTCAAAAAATTTTCAAATCTTTCAGATTTACACTTAGGTCAAAAACTTAGAAGTATGGGTCATTGAGGAATGTCACATTGCAACTTAGATATTGAAGAACATGTTGTTTTTTTAACCTTCCAATCTTCTGAGAATGTGAATGGAATGTCTCACATTTATGGCCTCTGGAATTCTCTCACACCTTCCATTGAGGCTTATGAAACTTCATACGTTATGATCAATATCACTTTTCCCTCTTTCTGTTTTCCCAATATTTTGAGCTACTACAATAATTTCTTTTGCATGTTACTTTTCTTTTTCCCAAGGACTGGTAATGTGGGTAACAACAAATTCAAACCCATATTTCCTCTCTTGGAATGCATTCATATACACTTTCTTCAATTCTTTGACTCCAATTCCTCTGATCATTTAGTGTTAATTTTTTTCCTTTATCTGTTCTTGATATTAAGAAAACACAGGCTGATTCATTCTTTATGAACCCTTTCATAAAATCCTTGTGCAGAAACATTATATTTATACACCATACTTTTATTCAGAAAGTGAAACCAATAACTACAAAACCATAAAGGAAACTGAAGCAGTAGACTGGAAAGTGAAGGAATATCCATCTTTAGTACCTCAGCAAAACTTTTGCCCTCAGTTAAAACTATCCGAAAGCTTTCCCCTTTTTCTTACTTGGCAAATTAAAAAAAGCAGTCTCCAAGAAAATATTGCCAGATGAATGGAATTTATCAAATACAAGAATGAAGCAATATAATAAAAAAATTGCTTATGGGATATAAAAATAACGAATATTACATGGCGACAAACTGCAAAATAGACATGATATCAGACCGGACTCCGGGAAAGAATAGAAGAACAAAGAATGCCCTCATAGACAAAATGGAAGAAAATAATGAGACGTGACAGAGACAAGATGCTCCAGAAGAAGAAGGGCGGTTACGACTTTAGAACAATGATGGAAAGTCTGTTTGAAAGTTTGTGAAGTGTGTAACAATGCTAAAATGTGAAGTTATTGATAGTGATTATATGAAATGGTTCAGTTGTTTTTAAAACAAAAATTTTCCTTTGCATAAAAATAGTCTACAGCTTTTAAATAAAAGAAAGAAGAAAAACAGATCAAAAACCCTAAAGAATACTGGAAAAAATGTGTTAGCTCTTGGCATGTCTTAAAGAAATGACCTTCATTGGAAATTATCTGATATAGGTGTTGAAATTCTTACTATCTTTTCAAGTATTACTTTATATCATGCAATGCGTCTTGAATAAAAATGTTATAAATAGGGAATTAAAAATGTGTTGTATAATACACTAGAGAGGGTGCATTTTAATGAATTTTTAATAATCCAGGTCCTTTCTGTTGGGACTTAAGTAATTTTGCTAATGCATTTGAAGTTTTATTATAATTCTGTTTGTATATACGTGTTTTATTACTCTATTAAAATAAACACAAAGAACTTGTCAAGAATTTAAGCTCATTATAATTTACTTTTGTTGCCCTCTCACTTCCATTGTTCATAACTGCAATTTGTCCCCTTCACCTTCAATAGATCTTTCACTTTTGTTTTCTCCCATTGCTGGACCATATGCTAGGTTATATCAGATTAATATAATGCTCATGATTTATATCAGACAGTAAATCATTCCCCAAATTTAGCAAATCCTGACAAGACCTCAGCAAACTGAGGGGATATGACTATTTAGACTGTAGATAATGATTATCTTTCTTGGTCCTCCTGACAATGATATGTACAAAATGATACAGTTACATTGCAAATGCATACTGTACACCTATACAAGTGATTATAGTGACAAATTATAAGCTACATTTGCCAATATGCACCTAATAAAACAAAAGCTATGGGGACATTATTATAAAAGACTACATCACCAACTAATTATAATAAAAAAATATAGAGCTCCACTACAAAACTGTACAAAACCCACAAGAAATAGCTGATTATATTCAATGAACACTATTCATACAAATTAGTAAAAAGTTATCATTTCATACTATAAGTCTAAACATAAAACACACCAAACCCAAAACACGAATATTACACATAATTTGTAAATTCCATATTTTTTATATGAAACCACCCTGGACCAAATTGAGAATAAATCCGCTAGCAGCTATGGGAACAACATTCCAGATTTCTTTATTAAAACACAGTGCTCCTATTATAGTGCAACCACTCTCTCAACATCTGCCAATTACTCTCTCAATATCAGTGCATATTCCCAGAAACATTCAAAGGGCAAAAATTAGACCAATGTTTAAAAAGTGCAATGGATCTAATGAACTACAAACTGTATCCCTGTTACAGAATTTCAAAAATTCTGGAAAGGCTTTTCAGTGATAGACTCAAACAGTTTGTCATTTGTTTAAAGAATGTCCTTACAAATGCCCACAACATTGGCTTTCTAGGATCCCACGACGCAACCATCTTCCTTTTGAAATGACATACTTGTTGCACTAAGTCAGAGGAAATTCCATTTGGCCTTTTCCTTAGATTTGTCGATAAGCCACATACTTTTAAGAAAACTTAGAAATGCTAGGGATTTGAGGCATTTTCAGGCCAATGGATCAAATCATAGTTTAATCAAACCAGTAAGCCAAATAGTTGCCCTCCAACACAGTAAAGAAAACCAATCTTCCTTCATACTATTCACTGCCCTTCAAATATCATAAATGTGGAAGTCCCGCAGAGGATTCCATTCCTTGGGCCCAATACTAATCCTTATATGACATAAATGACATACCTTTGGCTTTAAGGAATTAACAAAATAATTTTATTTTGCAGATGATACAAACATAATCATCAAAAGCAAACACAATAATCATTAGAAAAAAAAACGAAACTCACAAAACTCATCATAACACTAAACAAAAACAGTCTTTCTAAATTTTCACGGAATCCTCGATCTAAAGAAAAACTCTCACAATTTGCTCTCATAAAACAATAACCCTCTCATGAATGATACCTCATGATATCTCATGAAAACATCTTCCTCCAGTCTAACAATTCAAGAAAACCTTAAAATGGATGTTCTCACCAAATATTGCTATGCCTTATATCTGTAAGGTCAAGCTCCAACATTGAGATGCTTCAAACAATGTATTATGCAAATGTGCACTCACACCTAAAATATGGTAATAATATCTGGGAAATACCTCTGAAAGCACCTCGCACATTTTTTTTAATCCAAAAAGAATATGCGAACAATGACCAACACTCATAAGTGGAGCCTTGCAAACCTTGTTCAATAAACTTAAGGATTCGTCCTCCTAACATGCTTGTATAATTTGCAAATAGTGGTTTTCACAAACAAAATTCTAATGGGAGCAACAACATGTTTAAATTTCGATGTACACAACTACAACACCCATCGAAGGATAATAACATGTTCCCCCACTCTAAACTACCACTTTATCAAAAAAAGTACTCTAATAGAGAATTTAAACATTACAACAAATTAGGCAAGATATTAAAGGACATAAAACACAATTCATACACTTTAAGGTTAAAATGAAGCTTTTCCTGGCTTTACGATCATTTTCTACAGTGGAGAGAGTATTCAAAGTACAACATCTCACTGAAAAATAAATATATGCCTGACAAAAAAAATTCTTTCTTTTCGGATTCTCTAGGATCACATTAGGTGCTGCATTAGGACAACGTGTAAAAAATTTGAATAGAAAAAAAAAAAAAACTGCGTCATAAACTGCCAAAACTCCTCCTTTACCATTTTCAAGTTTTTAATATAGAATGTTACGAATGGTGTTAACATTTTATATATAATAGTAATATAATATTGCTAACAGAATTGATATGTTATTGTTTTCAATATCATTATTATTATTATTATTATTTATTATTATTATTTATTTATTATTATTATTATTATTATTATTATTGTCATTTCCATCATCCTTTACCATTTTTTTGTACCTCATGATTGCCTTTGCGTTTGTCCCAAATCCCAAAACACAAATATTAAGTCACCCTTACTGTCAAAAGTCATTTGAAATCAGTACGCATAACTGCAGAATTAGCAAACTTTCGAGTTCTAGTTATATCTAGACATCGGAGGTTAGGAAATGCACAAAACATTTCTGATGATCCTTTTTTTTGTTGTGGTTTTATGGGGGTAATGCCTTTTTCGACACATTTTCTTTTTAGTGTTTTTTTTCTTACAATTTATTTATTTTTATTTGTAGTCTTGATTTTCCCAATACACGTTTAAATTATTTTCAGTTCTTCTAATCACATTATTGTCTTCTTGTTACAGTCTCCATTTTTACTTTCCGTTATATGTACGTATATAGGGAGTAATATACGAGCTAGAGTAAAGTTATGTAAGTGCCGAAGAATCAATTTCAGATTTTCAATGGAAATTCGCGTATTTTGGGCTCCCAGATACCAAAAAGCTTCGTCCCGTCCGTCTGTCTGCTGTCTGTGAACACTGTTAAGCGCCTAAAACCATGGCGCAGGATATTTTCCCAAAATTGAAGAAAACATTTCCATCTGAAAACTCGAAATAGTACTTTGAAATTTTTACATTCTTCAAAATTTGCGAAGCACTTTACACGGATAGCCCTCCGGGACATTTTTTCAAAATTTTTCTCAAAAAAAAAAAAGTTTTTTTTTCTTTAAAGGAATTCTTTCTTTTTGTAAGAATAGGACTAACATACTTATGAACGTTGCATAGTCCGATTTTCTCTGGTACATTCTTGAATTTAGAAAAATTTTTACCAGTATTGAATTTTTTTTCGGTATCTTTCTACAATTCAAAATTAAAGATAAAGATTTTCCCTTCTCATAAAAACTTGTTTCTCCATTGTGAGTTCTTTCATTAAGGCCATGTATTATTTTTTGAAAAGTTTAGTTTGTTGTGCGGGCAATATAGCATGCAATTTGGCCAGGTTTAAAAAATTACAAAAATGTTTTCTCATAATTCAATTCTTTTGTTTAAAATTTTGTTAGGGTTATGTTAAATTACGTCTATAAGATGTACAAACGCCACAATGCTCTATTATCTTTAGTTTTTTTTAAAACAAAATGTAAAGATCGGTCAAAAAAATGTATTTTTTTAATCTGGTCTTTCACATCGTTGTATTTTACATTAGCGTCAACTTATATCACATTATTATATTGATTGAGTACATTACGCTTTATATAAGGTCAGATAAAGTTTTCTCGATAAAAAAACTGAACTAGTGGCTTTTTAGTCCCTGATAACGTAATTTTAGAGTATTTCTCGTTTTATTATACAAACATATGGTACATTGATACTCAAATTTCAAAATATTTAAACTAAATTCAAGCTAAATCGTTCAATAATATATTGATAAATTATTGCATCAAATTACATATGGGAGCAATACAGATTATTTAAAAAGAAAGTTGTTAATACAACCATACTGCATGTTCTTTTCCGAAGTGTTATTAAAATTATTATTATTAAAGGGCAATAGTTTATGACCCAATGAACTACAGGTGCCTATTTCCCTTGTTATCAGGATTTTCAAAAATCTTGGAACGACTTTTCAATTTGCATAGACTCAAACAGTTTCTCAATGCAAATAAGTTGTCCTTACAAATGCCACAACATGGCTTCAGGAGTTATAATCCACAAGACACAGCCATCTTGCCTTTTTAAATGACATACTTGTTGCACTAAATTCAGAGGAAATTCCCATTGCGCCTTTTCTTTAGATTTGTCAAAAGCCTTTGACATCCAATTGGGGGGGGGGTGGGGAACCCCCCCCTAAATTCCCAATATACTTTAAGAAACTAGAAATGCTAGGGATTCGAGGCAATTGCAGGCCAATGGATACAATCATTATTTTATCAAACCGTAGACAAATAGTTGCCTCTTCCAAACACACTAAAGAAACAACAAATCTCCTTCATACTACTCCTGTCCTCCAAATATAAATTGTGAAGTCCTGCAGGATCCATTCCTTGGGCCCTAACTATTCCTTATATACGATATGACATGGCCTTTGCTTTAAGGCAACAACAAAATAATTGTTTGCCAGATGACCACCATAACTCATCATCAAAGCAAAAACACAACAATCATTAGAAAAATGAAACTCACAAAACTTTTTCAAACACTAGTAAAATGGTCTTTCAAGACAACAAACTCTCATAAAACACGAGCAGACAGTCTCTCTAAATTTTCATGTATCCCGATCTAAGGAAAAAACCTCACGAGCATTTGCTCATATAACAATACCCTGTAACGAATATCTCATAAAACTACCGTCCATTGGACTACAATTTCAAGAAAACCTAAAATGGACCCACTCCACATCTCAAATCTTAACAAGAAGCTCAGCAAATCTTGCTATGCCCTCAGGGTCATTGCTCCAACATTGAGGACACTTCGAACTATGTTTTTTGCAAATGTCACTCACACCTAAAAATATGGAATAATTATTCTGGCGGAAATGCCCCTGAAGCACTCGCCACAGTTATATCCAAAATAAGGAATTTACTTGCGAACATATGACCGAGCACTCATAATGCTGGAGTCTTTGCAAACTCTTTGTTTAATTAATAAGATTCATCCATCTACCATGCATTGTACATTATTTGAAAAATTAGTGGTCTTCACAAAAGATAAAATTCTCATGGAAACAAAGACACTTTTACTTTAAATTCTGAATGTACATAACTTACAACACCCGTCAAAAGGAGTAACCTACACGTTTCCTCCACTCTGAAAACTTAACGACTTTATCAAAAAAGTACCCTAATAGAGTGCTATTACACTTTACAACAAACTGGATGGCAATGATATTTCAAAAGACATAAACACATTCATACAATTTAAAAGGTAAATTGAAAGTGCTTTCCTGCTTAACAAACATGTTCTACACCTGTAAAGAATTTTCAAATTACAACATTTCCTTAAAAAATATAAATAAATAAGCAATTTCTTATTCCATTAGACTTTCTGTTTCATGTGAACTGTTTCAAGCTGAAGCAAAGAACAAAGAACTTCAATATTCACATCCTGTGAAATAGAAGAAGAAAAAAACACTTGCCTCCTCACCATTTCAGGTTTATAATATAGAATGTACTACTATTGTTAAATTTAATGTAGTTGCAAACGTAATTGATATGTATTATTAATTATTATTATAATATTAATTATTATTAAGTTTAGTAGCATTAAAAATAACATATTGAAATGTTAATTATTAGCATATAATTTTATTCACTGTATAAATTTAATTAACTGTAACAAGTATTGTAATTTCTAGGCCAATGACCCCATCTCAATCAGGTTTTTGTTTGCAGTTTCCCGGCATCCTTTGTAGAAATGCTGCAGCATGGCCCTTGTTGCTCTGAACAGTAATATAACTTCGCTCTCTTCACCCAATGGCACCGTATTGACTTCGTCATACACGATGGTAATTGTACATTATGACTCAATAAAATATTATATTATTATTAAATAAATAAAACTAATAAACAATTTTTACAAAAATACTTACTTTAAATGTTATTTCATTTATTATTATTATTATTATTA